CTCATTTCAATCATGCTTGGGCCCTGTTATATGACAAGGAAGAAAGTAATTAATGCTCAGCTCATTATTGAGTGTTGGCTCCTGTGAGCCCCTACTGTGAGAAGACAGCATGAAACGTTCCACTTAGCCATTCGGTATTTTTGTTCTCAAGGAAATTATACTCTTTACCTAGTTCTGAGAATTGCCTAAGTTCTTTTCTCATGCAGTTAAGTCACCAAAAAGCTACCCAGATAGACCGCAGTTACACCTCCTGCAGAAATGCTGTCACTAAGGCTTTGACTTGTGAGATGAGAGGTTATTGATGTGTTTGGTTTTTGGGTTTTTTTTTTTTTTTTTTTTTTTTGTTATGTCTACAAATGAATGCTTGTACATGTTTTCTGACTTTTTATTTAAGGCATGGCCATTATTTTTTTCATGTACCTTTATAAAACCTACTACAAGAAAAAACTAAGTCAGCTGTAATTCTGATGGGTTTTCCTTTCTATGTGACTTGTTGTTTTTCCCTTGTAGCTTTCAGTATTCTCTCTTTGTTCTGTACATTTACTATTTTTACTATGCTATGCCGTGGAGAGTTTATTTTCTGATCCTATTTGATGTTCTATTAGCTTCTTGTATTTGTATGGGAATGTCTTTAATTTGGGGAAATTCTCTTCTACAATCCTGTTTAAAATCTGGTCAGTACTGTTAACCTGAAATTCTTCTCCTTCCTCTATGCTTTTGATATGTAAATTTGGTCTTTCCTTGGTGTCCCGCATCTCCTGCATATGCCACATTCCATTCCTGTTTTAATTTGTTTTCCATTTCATTCATTCTATTGTTGAGGCTTTTTCCTGTTGTTTCAAATTGGCCTATTGAATTTAGCACTTTCTTCTTAATTTCAGCCTGAGTTTTCTTCAGTGTTTCTATCTCTTGTGAATTCAGTCAGAAGTTTATCCCTATCTTCTTTTAGTTCTTTAATTTGTGTGTTCTTTAAATTCATTGAATTCCTTGCTCATGTTTATGATTCTTCTTTTAAGTTCTGTGTTCTGTGTTCTCTGGGGGTCTCCTTGCTACAGGACTGGTGGAGTGTGGTGGGGACATACATACAGGACTGGTGGAGTGATAGGGACATACATACAGGACTGGTGGAGTATGGTGGGGACATACATACAGGACTGGTGGAGTGGTAGGGACATACATACAGGACTGGTGGAGTGGTAGGGACATACATACAGGACTGGTGGAGTGGTAGGTACATACATACAGGACTGGTGGAGTGTGGTAGGGACATACATATAGGACTGGTGGAGTGGTAACATACATACAGGACTGGTGGAGTGTGGTGGGGACATACATACAGGACTGGTGGAGTGGTAGGGACATATATACAGGACTGGTGGAGTGTGGTGGGGACATACATACAGGACTGGTGGAGTGTGGTGGGGACATACAAGACTGGTGGAGTGTGGTGGGGACATGCTGTTTTTGTTTCCCACATTATTTTCCCCTTGTGATTTTGGTATGTGGATTTCTTTTATTTGTGATTCTGGTATGAAACTCAAGCCTTCCTTTGTTGAGCTGAAGTCTGCTTCTGTTTGTATTGTTGGTGCTCCTTGGTTGTTTTCTTATTGGGTTTGTAAAGCTTCTTGGTCTAGGTTTCAGGTTCTCTCAGATTTTATATTGGAGGGAACTGATGGCTTCAAATCAGCTACTCAGTAGCTCCACGGAGTCATAAGTCGGACTCCAGTCAGGTACACTCAGGCTTCCTTCTAACATTTTGGCCCCTACTAGCATGCACTCACAGCACAATTTGGGAAGTTCGCTAAGGGGAGCCCCAATTTTGGCACAGTCAGGCAGTCTGCTAAGTTCTCAGCCCCTACTGTAGGGGAGAGAAATCTAGTCCTGGCAAAGTGGGAGGGGCCTCACATGGTCCCAGTGCCGGGATTGGGCAAGGCACGATTTGGGTAAGCTCACCACCAGGCAGAGGCCAAATCCAGCCACTGTCCAGTATGTCTGCTGAGGTCTCAACCCCTACAGTATAGCAGAGAGTTCTAGCCCTGGGGACAAGGGAGGGGCCTCACATAATCCCAATTAGGGGGTTGGGTAGGGTGGGATTTGAGGAAGCTCACCCACCACCATTTGGAGGCCAGATCCAGGTGCTCTCAGGCTGTCTGCTGAGGTCTTAGCCCCTACTGAAGGGCAGAGAGGTCCAGAACTAACGATGCTTATGAGAGTGTTAGTAGTGGTCATTTTTATATGCATGCTTCTTTTTTCATGGTTTGATTTTCTAGTTTCCAGCCTTTGTTAGTGAACGTCTTTTACTCAGAGCCATCTTACATTGCATTTTAGGAGAATATAGGATTGAAAATTAAACCTGAAATATTAGAACAGCTTGGGCTCATTAGCCTACATCCATGGTCGGCTGTGCCTCTGGATCCATTGTGTGGTCGCATTTCCAGGTTGTGACATGTCGTGCTCAGGAATTGTTCTCGAAGGGCTGTAATAGTGATTTTTTCCCACTGCCTCCCCTCATCCTAAATAACGTGATGAAAACATTTTTCTCTTATCTCTGGGTAGTTAAGTCTGCGTGTTGTTGCTCAGTGGTATCACTTAGGTGTTTAGAAGCTGTTTTCTTTGTCAGTTCAGTCAGTATGACATTTCCCCCATAACTGTGTCAAGGCTTCACTCCAGATCATTCCTTCTGCAGTGGGGAGTCAGAAGGAGAAGCCGAGGTGTGCAGCTGTCAAGGAGGAGACAGATCTTTGCAAGATGGGTTTGGTTTTTCACGACCAAGACTGAGACCTGAATGGGATTCAAAAGAAACAGAATAGACTGCAATGCAAGTCTATGAGGGAGCCAGGCAGATTGGTGCTTTGTCAGACTGTGAGTATGTAGTTGTGTGTGACAGGATGGAGAAAAGGAACATTTCAGACATGGCATCAGAGCATATAAATTAATACAAAAGGGGGCTGGAGAGGTGGCTCAGCGATTAATAACACTACTGACTGTTCTTGCAGAAGACCTGGGTTCAAATCCCAGCACCCACATGGCAGCTAACAACTGTCCGTAACTCCAGTCCCAGGGGACCCGACAGCCTCTTCTGACTTCTGTGGGCACTGCACGACAGTGGTTAAGAACACTGGTTGTTCTTGCAGAAGACCCAGGTTCAAGTCCCAGCACCCACATGGCAGCTAACAAATGTCCGTAACTCCAGTCCCAGGGAATCTGACAGCCTCTTCTGACTTCTGTGGGCACTGCACGACATGGGTGCACTTACCTACATGCAGGCAATACACGCATACACATAAAATAAAAATAATAAATAACTTTTTTTAAAAGTTTAAAAAATTAATACAAAAGAATCAGGTTTAGATTGTTTTGCTTTAGTCCTAATTACTAATTAATTACTGTCTATATATTGACATTGTGTGACGTAAGCTTTTAGTTCTGCCTCTTTGTTTTGATATGCTAATTTGTTTTAGTTATATGAACCATAATTTCAGAAAAATATTTAGCCTTCTTCATTATTGGTAAATGCTACCATTAAGTCCACTGTGTTTCTACAGTAAGTACATACCCCATAAGAATTCTCTCTCAGGTTTAGTATCTTGAAATTATGTTTTCTAAGTTTTATTGTCTGGAATTCATGAGGTCAAATTTTAGCAAATCATGGTGATTTAAATAATCCCTAAGTATATTAGTATCAGAAGTATGAAGTTATTTTTGGTAAATCACCATGGGTAACATCAAACTAAATGATTCCAAACTTAAAATGTTCAACCTCTTAATAACATGGGCATTTCAGATACATGCTTCTGAAATATTTGTAGAATTTTGCCTCATTTATTACTGAGATAAATCTTTGAAAATCTCTCTACCCCACGTGTTTTGGGAGCCAGCTTCTGCAGTAGTTTCCAGCTTCACAAAAACCTGAATGCTGTTTGATATTTTCTTACTCATTCTCTTATTAAATACATATTAAACATCTGTGCACTGTTGTAGCTATAGACACTATCTAAGAAACAGGTGCCTCCCTTCAGAAGAAGGTTCTTAAGGAAACCTGCACATGTGCAGCTGCCATAACACTGTGTGGTGAGTGCCGTCAGGAACCACAGGCAAGGTACAATGAGCGCAGAGCTAGAGGCAGTCAAGTTGTGTGCCTGCACTCCTCTGCCTTCTGTAAGATCTCTTTCAGCCTTCCTATGAGTTGTTGAAATGGGAAAGTCTTAGAAGACGAAATCAGCCTGGCGGAGCTAGGGAAGGAAGACAAAGGCGCAGATCTGTCTTTAAGCTCATTGACCATCCCTTTGTAGCCTTAAGCATCCTCTAGAATCCCAGCAGCTGAGCTGGAGCCAGGATTCTCAGAGCAACCTGAACTGAGATTTCATGTTAAGGTTCTTCTCTTTTCACAGGCTCCACCTCAACAGTGATGTATAGAACCTTTTGTGTACATTTAATCTATGAAGACTTAAGTTGAATTAGGCTCAATTTCATACAATTTACTCCCTTTTTTTTTGTTTTGGTCTTTTTGAGACAGGGTCTCCCTGTAGTCCCAGCTGGCCTGGAACTCACTATGTAGACCAGGTTGGCCTTGAATTTACAGAGATTGGACTGCCTCTGCCTCTGAGTGCTGAGATTAAAGGCATGCGCCTCCATGCCCGGCATGTGCAATTTACTCTTAATCCTCAGTATTTCTCTATGAGGTCTTCAGTGTATTATCTAACTCTTCTAGACAAGAGGTGAAGGTTATGCTAAGTTCTGTGCAGAAACAGAAGTCATCCGATGGAAGTTAGAGCACTATGTTACTTTTGAAATTCTAAGCTATCACACTGTGCTCCTGTTCTTAACCTCTCATCTGTGTTAAAGGGAAGCAGTTGCACTGGGCGGGGTGCTCTGTTAGTTCCTCTATGGTCACTCCTAGTGTTTGGCTTTCCACTAATTTAGTGGTGCACAGATGTAAGGGTTTCAGTTTTGCTCTTCTGAAGTTTATGAGCTCTTTTATTGACCTTTTTGTAAACTAGATGCTTTCTGATGCAGCACCTGGGAAACTGAGGATTGTTCATGGAGATGTACTGACGTATAAGATAGAGAGGGCTTTTCCAGATACCATTAGAAGACAGTGGGAAGACGGTAAGTGCCTCTGGGTGTTTTGTTTTGGGACATTCATATCACAACTGCTATTTTAGTTTCTGCTTATTATAAGTGCTTACTTTTCTACATTTGTACTAAGATTACATGCAGAATTAAATGATACATTGTAATTTCTTCTGCTTTCCTACTTCCAAAATTTAAAATACGGTTATTTTTGTGACTTTTTTTTTTTTTTTTTTTTTGAGACAGTCGTATTCAATAGCTCAGTCTGGCCTAGAACTCCTTCTTAGGTAACCCAGGTTGATTTGGAATTTGAGAATCCTCCTGCCTCAGCTTTCCAAATGCTGGCATTGCAGGTGTGCACTACCGTGCCTGATTTAGTTTCCTAAATCTAATTTGTCTCATATCTTCAAGCTTTAGTTTCTGTGCGCATATGTATTTTTTTATTTTTATGATGCTGTGTGAAGGTAAAGTACTGTTACCTTTTTCCACGTGATGAAAATATTGTAGGAAGCCCGGCCAGCCCCAGGGCCTTTTCCATTGCTCTCCTGCTCCACTTGCTGCACTCTCCCTTCAAGACTAGTGGACTTGGTGCTGGGTCCCTGCAGTGTTCAACTCTTAGAAAACAGATGGCAAAGGGTATATTAGTTGCTAACCAGAAGTCCTCAAAATAAATGAAGAGAGCTTTTCAGCATATCTAGCTGCTCGTATCTCTGGCCCTCCGGGGTTGTGCTCCTTCAAAGTGCCTTGTGTTTGTAGTCTCTACCCTCAGGCCTTCAAGTTGGCCCTTCTCAGCAGAGGCTGCAGGGCTCTGTGTTCACCCTAGCCATGCTAAGATCATGATAACCTGCCTGGCTCAGCCACCTTGCTGTTATATAACACCTTCTAGATTTTTGTTCTTATCTTCCCTGCTATCCTTTGGCATTTGTGAACTTATTTCATTCTTTGCCAGTGGTGTTTTTGTTTTATTGGGTTTGGGGAAGTTTAATTTTATTTATTTATTTATTCATTCATTCATTCTTTCTTTCTTTGGTCTTTTTGAGACAGGGTCTCCCTGTAGCCACAGCTGGCCTGGAACTCACTATGTAGATCAGGCTGGCCTTGAACTCAGAAATCTGCCTGCCTCTGCCTCCTAAGTGCTGGGACTAAAGGTGCGTGCCACCATGCCTGGCTAGTAGGGTTAATATTTTGTTATTTTTATTTTATGTATATGAGCGTAGTGTCTGCATATATGTATGTGCACCCATGTTGTACAATTCCCGTGTAAGTCCGAAGAGAGTGTTGGAGTCCTTGAAACTGGAGTTACAGATAGTTGTTAGCTGCCATTTGGGTGCTGGGAACTGAACCCTGTCCTCTGCAAAAGTAGCCAGTGCTCTTAACTGCTGAGCCATCTCTCCAGCCCTGTCTTTGTTTGATTGTTTTTGTTCATGATTTATTTTGTTTTTTAGTCACTTAAGTGTTTTTTCTGAGGTTTCTTTCTGAGCATCTTCTCAGACCCCGCATTTGCCTAGGTTACTCTGTTCCTTTGGTTTTGTTCCTCACCTAACTGTTGTGGGCATTCACATCTTAGACCTAGCTCATATCCCACTTCTGGGCATCTGATGATCTGACATCCCCGGGGACACTTTAAATTCATTGTGTCCAAAAGAAAATTATCTTTTCCCTTGGACCAATTTATTTCATATATTTCCTAAGCCAGAAACCTGAGGATTTCAACTGACTGAGCACTAATTAAGTAGTAAATGCAAAGCTAACTGTGAAAAAAGAATTTCAGTTGAAGAGAGCTGGAAAAGAGATACTGAGCCATATCTTTTCATGTGTTTTTGTTTGATTCTCTTAATACCCAGTTGAATTTACATTTAATTAAAATCATATTCAGCATATAGTCACATACTCATTCCAAGTTGCCTTTTTTCTTTCCTACCAAATAGATCCTCCAAATGTGCATATTATTGGAAATCTGCCATTTAGTGTTTCAACTCCTCTGATTATCAAGTGGCTTGAAAACATTTCTCTTAAAGATGGACCTTTTGTTTATGGCAGAACTCAGATGACCTTAACTTTTCAAAAGGAAGTGGCTGAGGTAAGTATTCTTTTTGTCTGACCATTTTATCATATGATCAAATTCCAAAACAAAATAATATTTTGTATTATCACTGTCCATGTTTTATGTTGGTACTTTTCCATTACACACAGAAAAACCACAGAAGCACAGCTAAAAGTTAGATGTGTAATGAAGATGGCAGATGTAAGTGCTAGACGCTCCCAAGGGAGAGCATGAGACAGACATGTCAGCCAGGAAGGCAGTGTGGTAAGCACAAGGCTACCACTGCCTTTGACAGAATCTGAGCAAGATGAAAACCAGGCATGCCTATGTAGAGACTGGTCTGTAATGTCTTAAAATGGATCCTTTGCATTCAGTAGGATGAGAGTTCACAATAAGATTATGAATTTGGAGTTAAGAGTCTCATTATCCAGTCTGTTGACTTTTACTCAACACTGCCAACACACATACCTCAGTGGTGCCTGCTGAGCCTGCCTTCCCATGGCAATGGTATGCTAAGTTTACAGAGTCAGTCAGGGTGAGCCAGGGCAGCTTGTGGATGAAGCAGCTGGGCAAGGTTTAAGGAAGGGATCAGCATCTCCTCTCTGCTCCCTTTTACCGCGGGAATTAGGATTGAATTTTGAACTATTCCCTTCCATAGTCTTATTACATAGATCTATATCTATGTGTTATATACTTTAGATCTGTAGATCTGTATCCATGTGTTATATACTTTAGTTTTGTCTACTCCCAAGCTTTATATGAATGGATTCATACAGTATAAATGTAGTTTTACCCTGAACATCTTAGGTAGGATTCATTCCCTTTGCTCATAGCTGTGGACTATTTATTAGCTATATATTCTGCCCACTGTTGCACTGCCATAGTTTGTCCAGTCTCCTATGTGGGGCCCTGGAATTACTGCCAGTGTTCTGCTATTACAAGCAAAATTACTGAGAGTTCTTAAACACAAAGGCAAGATTTCTCTTGATGGTCATAGATGGAACTGCAAGTCTTTGCTCTTACTAGATAAAGGTAATTGTTCTCTGAAATCATTAGACTGACTTACATCTTTCAACTGTGTGTTTGAGTTCATTCTGATCCATATTCTTGCTGGTTTTAGATATAACCAGACTTACACATTTCTATTATTCTGGGGACAATGGTATGTCATGCTGTATTTTGTCTTTGCTGAGTTTGAGTGAAATTGAGCGCCACTTCATCTTTGGGTTACTTGAGTATTTTGCATTGAATTGCTTGCATTCTGCTAATCTTCTTTTGGGCTACTGACCTTCACCTTACTACTACGGAGTTACTCACATGATCCCTACTAGTCCCTGACCAGTTAAGTGTGCTGCAGGCTTCCCTTTTCTTCACCATTTTGTCACGGTCGTTTTCAGTGCCTTTTGAGACTCAAGACATTTAATTTAAGCTTGTTTTGTTTTTTGTTTTTGAAACTTGAGGATAATTTTACTAGAGTTCTAAAAAATTCCCAGGACAGGTGAGCTGTGAACGTCAGCAGCTGCCTAGAGGAGGAGAAGGAGAAATGCAGAAAAGCCCTTTGAGTTACGCAGGTGTGGTGGAGGTCAGACACGTGACAGACAAGCAGCCACATTGCCAGAGTGAGCTTTAGACAAGGAGCACGAAAGCCCGGGGTGCCATACCTAGGCTCTGGCCAGCACCCAAGGAAAAAGCCAGAAAAGAAGAAGAGGAAGTCCTGACTCAGAAAGGTGGGCAGAACCAACAGGGAGCTTGTAGGAACTGCACTGGGGAGCGGGCATTCCGAGAGGGAAACTACAGCATCTCATTAGGAGCTCGTTATTCTTCTTGCCTCTTTAGCACAGCTTCAGGTGACCCACCATCCTGAGGGGCCATCAGGTCACTGACTTGCCCGACTTCACTCAGGCCACAGATTTCATCCTCTTAACCAGAGGAATTTGTTTTCCCGTGATGGCCTTGGCTACTGCTCTTCCTCCTCTTTGAGGACAAGACCCTAAATCACTCACCACCAGTTTGGTACATTCTTATCTTTCACAATCATCATTAAATTCCAAGGCTAAATTTCTAAATGGAGAGGTAGAAAACAAACACTCACATCAGGGTAGGCTTTGAGAATACTTACCGTACTGTAACTGTCCCTTTTGCAGTGACCGTCCCCAACAGGGGTGCTTTTGTCCACAGTTCTGTTGGAAACATTTGGCAATGTCTGGAGTCACTTGTTACCACAGCTGAGGGACGCTGCTGGTATCTAGGGGGCAGATACTGGGCATGTTGGTAACCATTTTTCAGGGTACAGCAGAGCCCCTTGACAAAGAGTGCACCAGCATTAACCAGCCCAGCATGCCAAGAATGTCAAGGCTGAAAAACTTGTAACTTTGTATCACAAACACATAGGGTCCTTTGTGTTATAAGAACTCCAGGGTGCTGTCACCAGTTTCCCCAGGGTTCTTGTCTTTGCCCATTCCTGAATCTGTTGGTTCTCTCCTGTTGGTCTTAATTGGGCCCATGCTTATAGATTCCTTTGTTATTTTCTCAACCTTTGGATTTGTTGATTCTGACAAAAACACTACTTATAACACTCTCACACCAGATAATTTTTTCTTTCCATACCAAACAGTTCTCCAAGTCTTTGGACACCAACTGGCTAGCCTCTAATTTAATAAACGCTGACTCTCCACCTGTGAAGAGTGGCAGGTCTCCCAAGATGAGGACTTAGACCCCAAGTGGCCTACCCCATGTCTGAGGCCAGTCACTGGTCTGAGCCTCCTGTGTGTGTGGGTGACAAGCTGTAAATCAGAGGGTCTTCTGATACCCATCCCTACTGCAGGTTCCTTCCCTGTCTTGTCAAAATGACCCACAGACCCCACCAATGAGCTGGAGTCCTAGTCCTTTCCTGTGAGCTGAAGATGTGGTTCCCCGCCGTGAGCTGGAGCTGCCGTCCCCTCCTGTGAGATGTAACTGTGGTACCCTCATAATAATGTTGACTTTCAGTCCCAGGAGGGACGATCGGAGTGCACTGTGCTGGATCACGTGCTCACCCACTGTTGAAGATTAATGCATCTTTTAGCTATCCCCGGGGCTGCAGAGCGCTTATCTCTGAGTGGAACGCCCCTATCAGGCCTCTGCAGCACAGGCCTCTGGGATCATGGCAGAGGAGGAGGTGGAAAGATTCTAAGAGCCAGAGGTGGTAGATGGGCCATGGTGGGCAGCAGGGGGTGGTGGTGGATATCTCTGGACAGCTGGCTGGTTACCAATGCGAACTCATAGCAGTAGCGACAACATGCCCCAAGTTGTATGCAAGCTCCAGTGGATGGATCCACACTGGAGAACCTATGGGGATTCAAAATAGACTCTATAGGCTTCATTAAACTGAGAGAGTACATTGAAATGAGTGCAGGGTCGGGGGGGGTAATGTGGGGAGGTGTGGATGGGAGAGGGGCTATAAATTATACTGTCATCAAATTATACTGTGGAAATCGCAAAAATTCAATTAAAAAAATGACCCACAGAATTTTACCTACCTTATAAAAATCAGCCAATTGGTCTTTCTGGGGACAAGCCCCGACCTCAGGCCACCTAGAGGCTTATGTCATCTGAGTTGTCTGAACTTAGGTATACTCAAAGGGGGCTCATGAGTAACAAAAGAGACTTCATCTCAAGAAACTCCAATGGTTCTGGGAGCTGTGCTAGGAACCAGGGACAGAGACCATGTATATTTTTAATCATACCTTGTTGGTAGGTGTTTTCTTCAGCTGACATTGTTGTTAGGTTCTTCTGTTCCTGAGTAACAGAAATGCAAAGCACTGTACTTTGTACTCTTTGAGGAAAGAGCAAAGGCGAGGCCTAGGTGGTGGGGTCCTACTTTCAGGGCTTCCTGGCAGCTGTGGTTTCAATGACTGTTGTTCTGACTTCACCATAGGCAATTATTTTTCTTTAACAAGGCTTTGCGTTAAATTTTTGTATGACTATTGAAGAGCATTTACATCAAGTCTAATTTATGGAATGCATTAGCAGTGTGGGTAACCCTGGTCCTCTGGACCACCTTTCACAGTTTACAGATGAAGGGTCCAAGGGGGGATTAGCAGTATTGTCTTAGGTCCTGCTTGCTTTGAAACGGTCGTGAATATAATATTTGGTATTTTAGCCACAAAAAGCATTTTTTTAATTGAATTTTTGAGATTTTCATACAATATAATTTGATGGTATTTAAATCCCTCCCCTTATTGTCCTCCACCCAATTTAATATACTAAATGCATAACAAGACTTAGAGAGTCCAATTTGTATCACCAAATGTCCTTTAGTATGTGTGCATCCATGAGTGCCTAGCTAACCTACCATCCTTGAAGGAGACTGTCTCTGCCCCTCCCAGCAGCCATCAGTGGCCAAAATTTCCTTGGGTTGGGTCGGGGTTCCTTACCCACTTCCCCATGTCTGTGCTTAAAACCTTGGCACAAATGTTGAATTTTAACAAAGAAGAATCTATCCATGTTTTGTAGCTTCTGCTTTTTCATCTTTAAGATGCTCTTCTCTACTGTGGTGTCATAGATATTACAGAAGTCTTTAAGTTTTGTCTTTCATTTATCCTTACTTACAAGTTGTTTTTGTTATGGTACAAGATTGGGACCTCTTTTTTCCTCCTGCAGAAACTTAGTTACACCTCTACCACTTAATGGAGGGTCTGACCTTTTCTCATTAAGAGAATCATGTCTGTCACATGTGCTTGGGTCTGTGTCTAAGGCTCATTCCATTGGTCTACTCGCGTCTGTAGCGACACTGTCTTAGTTTTGATATCAGATGCAGTAAGTCTCCCATGAGCAGTGTTGGTGTTCTTAAAGAGTGTTCTGGCTGTCCTTGGCACTATAGAAACTTTATTTGGTATTTAATTTTATAATGTATTATATATGGAAATTAAAGTTCTTTTAAAAGAGTTGACTGGGGAGCTGGAGAGATGGCTCAGTGGTTAAGAACTCTGGTTGTTCTTGCAGAAGACCTGGGTTCAAATCCCAGCACCCACGTGGCAGCTAACAACTATCCATAACTCCAGTTCCAGGGGGATGGCTCAGCAAGAAAAGGTACCTCCCAGGCTGGAGGGATGGCTGAGTGGTTAAAAGCACTGACTACTCTTGCAAAGAACCTGTGTTCTATTCCCAGCACCCACACGGTGGCTAACACCTATCCGTATCTCCAGTTCCAGGGGATCTGATACCCTCTTCTGACCTCTGAGGGCACTGCATTACACTGGTGCACTTATAAACATGCAGGTAATACACTCATACACATAAAATAAAAATAATAAATAAAATATTTTTAAAAATAAATGCATATGGGTGATTAAAAGAAAAAAATTCAGGCCAGGCATGGCGGTGCACATCTGTAGTCCCAGCACTTGGGAGGCAGAGGCAGGCGGATCTTTGTGAGTTCAAGGCCAGCCTGGTCTACATAGTGAGTTCCAGGACAGCTGGGGCTACAGGGAGACCCTGTCTCAAAAAGCCAAAAAAAAAGAAAAAAAAAAAATTCCAAGTTTTTTGTAGAAATCATTTGTCTGGAACAGCCAGTACTTCAAAGGTTCTTGAATACTGAAGATTTCACACTTAAACACTTTAGTTCTTCATTATTTGCTAATTTCTTCATAAAATGTTTACCAGTTGTTTTATGTAGAACATTCTGCTGTAGGATATGATGGTGATGAAAATCTCCAAAAGTCAACAACAGTCAGTAGAGAAGTTTGCCTAGCTAACTTTTTTGTTGTTGTTGTTTTGCTTTGTTTTGCTTTGCTATGTAGTCCTGAGTGACCTGGAACTCATTATGTAAACCAGGCTGGCCTCAAATTCACAGAGATCGCCTGCCTCTGCCTCCTGGGTGCTGGGATTAAAGGGCATGCACCACCACACCCATCTGTATCTGACTTTTTCAGTTCATTATACATGATACAATGGACATTTCCTAAGGTATATCTCGGCCAATAATGATGATTATTTCCCAGATTGTCTACATGTTATGTGTCAGATACCATGGTGTTTTTTTGTTGTTACTGTTTTTGCTCAAAAAGACCAAAAAAAAAGAATATTCAGCATCAAATGTTGGCTCCGTTCTAATAGACTGGATTAACTGTTTGCTAACATTTACTCTTGCCACTTGTAGAGACTTGTGGCCACTACTGGAAGCAAGCAACGCAGTCGCCTTTCCATCATGGCCCAGCACCTCTGTGATGTGGATCATCTCTTCACGATTCCAGGAAAAGCTTTTGTCCCCAAACCAGAGGTAAGTGTCTGCTCCTTGCCTTTTATGTCAGTGCTGCATTTTGTTATGATAGTTGTTCCCCAAGGATGTGGTATAGGAAATGATCTCTAGGAGCCAAGACTTAAATGCAAGCTACACCATAACTGGGTTTTATTCTTTCATTTCTCTTGAATAAGAGCCACAAAATTTACAGTTGTTTTTTTTTTTAATTATTTATTGGGACTGGAGAGATGGCTTAGTGGTTAAGAGCACTGACTTCTCTTCCAGAAGAACTGAGTTTGGATCCCAGCACCCACATCATGGCTAACAACCCTCTGGAACTCCAGCTCCAGGGGATCCAGTGCCCTCTTCTGGTCTTCTTGGACATTGCATGCACAGGTGCACTTACATACATGCACACATAAAATAAAAATAAATCAAAAAATGCTTAAAATTCTTATTTATTATTATTGTGTGTATCACTATGTACATGTGGAAGTCGGAGGACACCTAGGTGGAATTGGTCCTCTCCTTCCTACGTGGGTTCCAGGGCTCAGACTCTGCTAGGCTTATGCAGCACATGTCATTACCCACTGAGCAATCTCACCAGCCCCACAATATTTCTTACTCAAAGAGTTCTCATTCAAATCGTTCTCTCCCCTAGAACAGAGTTCTCTAAACCTTTGCCAGGGTTTATAGGTTGGTACCGGTCACTATCACTGACATTATCAACTCCTCCTACTCTTAAAAGTATTCTGTTATGGAAGATAAGTTATATGGCCACCCAGTCCTTGAGAAATTAAGTATTTTTGTGATTTCTAGCAGAGATTTTTAATTAACACTTTACCAAGCATTTATTTACTGTGAATATTTTTGGCAACATTACCTATCATCTGTGGGAAAATAGTTGGCTGTTAAACCAGGCTTTGATAATGATGTGCTAAAAACATGAGTTTTACTTACAGAAGCAAAGTTTCTTTTCCAAGAAAAAATTCTTCAGTAAGTGTGTTAAATTTTAGCAGAGCTCTCTGTTTAGTAAGTCATTACAGGACATGAGCTATAAGGCCTCTTCTGTGTTTCCTACCACTTAAGAAGTCCAGGGCTGGGGATACAACTGGAATGTCTACCTGATCAGATGTTGAGTCAGCCTTTAAGGAATACACAGCCCACTCAAAAGTAGAAATGTCTCATTAGTAGCTAAAACTCTCAAACATAAGTCTTGCAAAGTTTCTTTAAAGTTCATAAGTAAAAGGAGATAGCACGAAAAAATTATCATGTGGCTTATAGATTTAGATGTAGATGCAGATTGTGGGTTTGGAATGAGGACCTCAGCCATATAACCAGTCCACTGTGGACCCAGGACACAGGCTCAGATTTCTCCACATTCTCAAGTCTCTCCCCAAACCTCCTTGAGGGTCTTACCCTCTGCAGGTATCTGGGCTTCCAAGTCACGTGAGGAATTCACTACATCTTCCACCTCTGTCGCAGCTAGTGTCACCTTCTTCCAAATCATCCTCAGGGAACTCCTTTTGTGTCTGCTGGCTTCAAAGATCCTGTAAATGACTTCATCCAGAGTAGTTAGGTCGTCGACATAGTTTGGTGACTAGAAATATCTATAAGTTACCATTGTATTTAACACATTTGTGTTTTCAGGGACTTTCTGTCCCATGATAGTTGACCATCAGGTGACCCTCTAGTTTGCTCTCCTCCTGTAGTGTGACTGTGTGTGCACACAGTATCTCAATGTTCAGAACCTATTATCAGACACCACAGTACTGTTGAAGGGAGGTGATAGGTGCCTCCAATCCTAGTAGTCCCAGTATCTAGGGGGCCAGGACAGAGGAGGGTCAAGATTTCGAGTCCAGCCTGAGCCACATAGCAAATCTGAGGCTAGCCTGGACTGCATAGTGAATTCAGAGCCACCTAGGCTACAGTACAGTGAGACTCTTGTCATCAACAAAATAAACAAAAGAAAATTGCAGGTTTTTGTAATTACTGCCGAAATCCAGGATCTATACTTTCTAAATTTTACCACAAGTTTCTTAGAATGTGTGGTAGATTATTTGTAATGGAAAGTTTTCCTGTTTTAGTTATCTAGCCAAAAGCGTCTTCCAGTGTTTAGGAGATGTAGGGAGAGGGTACATGTGAAGCTCATGTAGTTTATTAATGTTTCTTTTCTCTGGGCTCAAAGGCTTAAGCATTTTTATTTGGGAAAATACAGCTCTTTTTTGGGGTGGGGGAAATCTTTGCTTTTTTGTAAACTAAATAGCAATTTACTTTGCCTGCCTTCCATTGTTTTAAATATTCTTGCAGGGGAGTTTTAACCCAGAAAAGCGGTTATCAAGGAGGAAAGAAAGAGAATATATCTGATTAAAAGAAAATAATAAATGATTATATGTTACTTATTTAAGAATTCTCCATTGCTCTGAAGTAGTTTTACCATAATGGGGCAACTTAGAAATACTCTGCAGAAAGCCTGAAAATATTTGATTGAGGATTACATTGAATGATTTTTTTAAAACTTCATTTTCTCAAAATAAGAGACGTGAAGAGGGACTGGAAAATGGCTCAGTGGTTAAGAACACTTTATGCTTTTGCAGAGGTCCCGGGTCCAGTTCTCAGCACCCACATTGGCCAGTTTACAACCACATCTAACTCAAGTTTCAGTGCCCTCTTCTGGCCTCTGTGGGCACTTGCACACACATGGTATACATACAGATATGTAGGCATACACACATATAAATCAAAAAAATAAATACAAGGAAATGAGAAGAGCGCTTTAAAAAAAAAAAAGATGAAATACAAATCCAAGACTGACCCTCTGTCTAAACACTGAGTTCAAGAAGAGAAAGTCTTAGACACAAATACCTGGTAGAGGAAACAGGCTGCGTGTACAGCAGAGTTTCAGGCAAACTGCTGGCAGAAGTGGTGCTCCAAGGAAGCCTGCTCACATCTCTTGCTTATTCTCAACCTGAAGCCTAAGAATCAGACATGAAGAATTTCCTTTGTGATGTAAAAACCACTTTGGACTTTTTTCTGTGAGAGTCTGTGGTGTCTTCTGTGCCTTTGAAATAGCCTACTTAATTGAACTTAAGGACAGAACTTTTAACTACCATAAAATTGTTCCAGCCCTGTTCTGACTAGTAGCTGAACTTTGGTTTGTGTTTTTGTGACTTTCAGAGAACTGAGCATCCCTGTTCTAACTAGTAGTAAAACGTTTTCATTGTTTTATTTTTGTGACAAAGTCTTGCTGCATTTTGCTGGCATCAGACAAATTGACCCCTGCCCTGAGTAACTGGAACTACACGTGCGTCCCTTCATGCCTGGCTCAGCTGACCTGTTCTTGCCAAGATTCCCTCTAACTTTGCTAGCTAGTTCCCCAAATTTGAACTCCACATTAGAATTTTTTTTAATATTTTATTTTATGTGTGTGTATTGTGTACATGTGGGTAAGTGCACCCTTGTTGTGCAATGCCTGTGGAGGACAGAAGAGGCCGTCGGATCCCCTGGGACTGGAGTTACGGACAGTTGTTAGCTACCTACCATGTTACCTACCATGTGGGTGCTGGGATTTGAACCTGGGTCTTCTGCAAGAACAACCAGTGTTCCTAACCGCTGAGCCATCATCTCTTCAGCCTTCACATTAGAATTTTTTAACTGTTGTATTTTCATTTCACTGTTGAGGTACTTATTTTACCAATTATAAGACAGTTTCTTTTACAATGTAAGTCCAGAGCTAAAAAATAATTTCATGACAGAATTAAACTTTTCTTAAGTTTCTCAGCATGAAATCCTCATATTTCTAGGGTTACACATTAACTTTCAGCTAGTTTACACATTACCAAGTTTGAGGAATGCTAAGCACTCTTAAAGTTCTCTGACAGTTCTCTCCAAGTTCTGTGGCACCTTGTTACTTTGTGACTTGTGGTCATGGGTCTCGTGATTAACACCCTTCTCAAGGAATGGGCAGGCTTTAGGTCTCATCACTATCTTCCTCCAAGCTGGTAGAAAAATGACTTAGATATAATTTGAAAATTGTCACAGGCTTTTTTATCTACGCCGACAGAAGCTGAGGACTTTGTAGAAAGCTAAACACACTGGAACGCCAGTGGGCCTTCTTCGGAGAACTTAATAAGTAGGCTGAGCTTAGCAGAGCCACAAATCTGTGAACTCCGAGCACCCAGCATTCACAGGTGCTAGGGGATGATGCCCACCCATGAGCAAGTTAGTGACAGCAGATGACAGCTTCCTGCTAGTATAAAATGCAGTGGATGAGCCCAGAAGTTACTGGAGATAAGGTATGCCGCAGCATGCTGAACAGTTACAAGCTGTGATGTAAATCCTCAAAGGTAAAGTTAGGATATGCTAAAGCATGTAGCTAACCAACACAGTGATAAAAGAGGTGTTCTGAGAAAGCCTTAGTCTGTGTTCCAGGCTGAACTGTCTGCCCCGTGTCTGTTTTCACCATGTGCTCCTTATGCTGGCTGTATCAGATACCTGAGATCATTTATCAGAAGAAAAGGCATGTGTGGGCTCACGATTCTGTAGGTCCAGTTCAAGATAAATAGCTGCATTATTTTGGGTATCTGATGAGGCAGCATGTCATGATAGGAACAGGATCAGTCCAAACTACTGACTTGATAAACCAGGAGGCAGAGTGGGATAGGAAGGGGCCAAGGACATGAAGTCAACTTTAAGAGCAAGCCCTCAAATGTCAAGGGCCTCCCACCCGCTCCACCAGGTAGAAGTCCACCCTCTCCTGTTGCCACCACTGGGCCTTTAACATGTGGACTTCTGGGGGAGAAATTTAGCGTTCACACTGTAGAACTAACTTGTGATAATCTTTGTCTGCACAGGTCTCAATCTACAGGTCACTTGCAGCATCCCAGACTGCCTCAACTTTATCATCACAGCTAGCCAGTGGTCATCAACAGTTCTCCCAAACCCATCCTAATCTACACTCAATTCTCTTGACTCAATTTCAGTTTTTAGCATTTTTTCCAGAATTATTACTAGATGTTTCCAAATCCATATGTAAATCTTCATCTCTGTTGCTTTAACAAAATATTTGAGGCCTCCACAGGCACCTGCACTCATATGCACATACCCCTACACAGACATACATACATGTACTGTTTTAAAAAACATTTTAAGGGGCTGGAGAGATGGCTCAGTGATTAAGAACACTTGTTGTTCTTGCAGAGGACCCAGGTTCGAGTCCCAGCACTCACGTGGCAGCCATGAACTGTCCTTAACTCCAGTTCCAGGGGAATCCGAAGCCCTCTTCTGGCCTCCGCGGCATTGCCCAACATGGGTGCACTCACATACATGCAGGCAATATCACTTGTACACATAAAATAAAAATAATAAATAAAATATTTTTAAATTTTTTTAAATAAAATATTTTAAAAAACATTTTCTTTATTTTTATTTTATGTGTTATGAGTGTGTTGCTTGCATACATGTAAGTACACCTATGTCACTTCTGAGGAGGTCAGAAGAGGCTGTCAGATCCTCTGGAACTGGAGTTATGGACAGTTGTTAGCTGCCATGTGGGTGGTGGGAATCAAACCCAGGTCCTCTTAACCACTGAGCCATCTCTCCTGCCACAAATATACATACTTTTAAAAAACTAAAAGCAAGGGGTTGGAGAAATGATTCCAGTGCCCTCTTCTGGCCTCTGTGGGCATTGCATGACATGGATGCACTTAATACATACTTGGAGGTAAAACACTCATATACAAAAAATAAATATAACAAAATTTTAAGTAAATAAAAGCAAATCTTTTTAAAAAAAAAAAAAAGATTTATTTGAGTGACAGTTCTGGTGGCTAAAAAGTGGCATCCTGGCATAGTTTCCTTCCCTGTACCATAATATTGCAGAAAAGCTGAAGGGAAAAAAAAATGGCCTCCTGAGAGGCTAAGCATGGGGGGGGCCTCATTTTATAATAGCTGACTCTCAGAGAACTCACTCCTGTGAGACCCGCATTGATCTATTCATTAAGGTGCTCAAAGGTTCCACCATGTCAGCATCGCCAGCCAGGACCAAGGTTCCAGTACATAGAACTTCAGGGCAAATCATAGCCAAATTACAGCTGTATATGTGTGTGCATCTGTGTATGTATATGTGCACATGTATGCATTCATAGATGTTCAGTAAGTAAAAGAGCTTTTTTGGTGTTTTGGCTTTTCTATTTGTAAATTTTTAATGTAAGAAAAGTGAATATTTTACTAGTCCAGAACTTGTCGACCTCACATCTGCCTACATTTTGGGGCCAGATCGTCCTTTGTTGCAGGGTTTGTCCTGTGCATGGCCGGCAGCATCCTGGCCTCTTCCCACTTGATTCCAGTAGTAGTTCCTCAGTTGTGACAACCCAGTGTCTCCAGGCCTTGCCACATTTGCCCTGCAGACTGAGCTCACCTGAGCCTTGAAAACAGCAGGGTAGAGTTAGAGCGAAGGGCCTGCCCTGCAGTGATTGTTTAACACAGGTTGCCGGGCCACATAGACTGTCTAAACACTGATGTACGTTAAGTAAAATGAGCAAACCATATGGGGTTCAGAGCTATATACTCTTCATTACAATTCTTTTTAATATTTTGTTTCTTTAGGAAATATTTGACTACCTAAAAGGAACGTATACATTAATAAATAGCCATTAAAACTTGTGGTGAAATGATGCCCCTCCGTTCTCGTGTGAAGTAATGCCTTCTCGTTTTCGCTGTCCAGTTAAAAGCCTGCTGTCGCAGAGGAGAATGATGGTCTCCCAAGTAAAATAGAGATCAGATATTTTAGTCTCTTCTTTATGACAAATGAAAATCATTCACATTTTCCCCTTCCTGATTTATTAATGTATAGTCTTTTCTTCCTTTAGCAACTGCATTATGAGCCATTATTAAGCATAAGTAAACAAATCAGAAAACTACAGTGTTTCTTTTACAACCATAGAAAGTCCGATTTTTGTTAAAATATTTGAATTACGTATAATCATTTTAAATGATTCTTTATGCTTTAAGAATTTCATTTCTATTAACTGAAGCTGTTCATTTATTTAAGAATAGTCATGCTTTTGTTAACTTAAAGTTTAAGGGGAAAAAACACAACTTGAAAGTGACTCAGCTGAGCTTGGTAGTTTAGGCTTGTAAACTGCAGCACACAGGAAGCTGACAGGAGGATCGTGAATTCCAGGCACGTTGGGTTACATAATGAAACTCTGTCTCAAAAAAAAAGAAGAAAAAGAACAAAGTAACAATCAAGCTCTTATTGCTTGGCTTGTATTTAAAAAGTACAGTATTTTATATTGATCTTTATGTGTAGTAGCATCTTTGATTTTACAGTTCTGCCTAATCTTAGTTTGCATATATGTGTGTGTGTATATATATATATAAGCCCATGTACAACACATGATATTTTTAAATGAAAATCAGAATGGAGGTTGGGGCTTGGGATAGATGGCTTGCAGCATCTTATAAGTTCTGTTTCTGGGGTCTCCTCCATATCCTATGGCTGTAAAACAAGCAGGCTGCTCAGACATTGCCCACCAGAGGACAAAAGTGGGCTGTGTTCTTGGGCCCCGTCGGGGCAAGGTGCTTTTTACATTTGGCCATTAAGAAAAGCTAATTTAGAAGATAAATCTAAGAGTTACCTTAAAAAGTGAGTAAATGCTGCCAATTAATTGCCTTATTAATCCAGTCAGGACGTCTTTCAAGTATAGACTTCAACAAAACAAGGAAAGCAATAAAGAAAGATGAGGGAAGACATTGGGACAGATGCAGTGGTGCTTTGTTGGCATTTTAAATTCCATCACAATTTTTAAGGTACTTTGTACTCTTTGTAAAGGAAGTTAAGCACAAATGTCATTTTTTTTTTTCAGTATAAAATAGTTTCAGCAGACCCAGGAGCCACACTGCATATTGCATGTGCCTTGCACAGCCGGTTACACATAGTCCTTCAGGCTGTATGCCGAGCTGGTCTCTGGTTGCCAGGTAGAGGTGCGTGTCTGCTTGGGAGGGTAGAGCTGGGGTGCCGGAATCCTCCTGGTGTCAGAAGTGCTGTGCGGGTAGAGCCTCAGTGCCGGGTGCTTCCTGGTGTATGAAGTGCAGAAAATAACTCCTGAGACAAGCAGCAACAGTGCCGAAACGAGTCCGATGTAGACCGCTCCTCCAGGCTCGTGCTTGCTGCTTTCTGGAACGCTCAGATCTAGAAAGTTGGCTATGATCTCCTTGGTGTACCACACTGTCGGGATTAAGCCAGAAGTCCCCGCCAACATGAGGCATACTCCTCCAGCCAAGGAAGCTTGACTCTTGGTCTGCCTGTCTCCTCCTAAGTGAGTGCATTTCATTCCTACTATAGAAGTGCAGATTCCCAAGGCAGAGAAAACACAAGCCAGGACCATGGTGGCCCTTGCAGCCTGCACGTGGATGGGGAGCGACAGGATGGAGTATTTCAGAGTGCAGCTGAACATCCCAGTGCTGTACCACGTGCAGTCCATCCACAGCCCATGCAGCTGTGCAATGGCTGTTATGATGTTGGAGCCTCTGTCTGCACTCACCTTCCAGTTGGGCAGCAGAGTGGCGGTGAGCACTCCAGAGACCCCCGCTAAGGCCAGGATGAAAGCAAGGAGTTGGAGACCCTCCGAGCCCATGATGTTACCGTTACTCTGTCCTAGAAGATCCTGGTGGTGAATTATGGCGTGTCCTCAGAACTGTAGCTATTTCTGTGCAGTTGAGAACCAAATAACAAAGCTAAAAAGAAGCAAAGTCAGGATTGAGGGGAAGGAAGAAAAAGTAAACAAGAACTTCTAGCAGAGGAACCAAGACACATGTGCACAGTGCCCTGTGTGCATGCCACATGCCTGTGCACACACAGCAGAAGATGCTGCGGTCGCACAGAAAGGAAGGGCTGGAAGCAGGCCTGGGGAATAACATTCTCATGAGTGATAGTCATGGGCAGTGCTTGATTCGTGACATAAGGAAAGTTGTCCACTTTGTTCTTTTTATATCTAAGCATGCCGAAAATGTCTGTGAAGTGGACATGGACCTTGCTAGGAAGTTTAGAAATTTCAAATTCTAGCTGAAGGATCCTAAAAAGAATTTGATTAGCATTGTAGATTATTTTAAGTGGCTTTGTTTTTAGTGAAAATACTCAAGGCAGCCTGGCATGGTGGCGCATGCCTTTAGTCTCAGCACTCGGAAGGCAGAGGCAGGCAGATCTCTGTGAGTTCAAGGTCAGCCTGGTCTACATAATGAGTTCCAGGACAGCTGGGGCTACAGGGAGA